TTGCAAGTCGAGGCTCGACTTGCAAGTGGCATCAAACAAAGAGATCTAGTTGCAAGTCGAGACTCGACTTGCATGTGGCACGAAAACAGAAGACCCAGATGCAAGTCGAGGGTCAACTTGCATGTGACATCAAACAAAAGGACCTAGTTGCAAGTCGAGGGTCCACTTGCAAGTGGCCTGAAAAACAAAGGAACCCAGTTGCAAGTTGAGGGTTGACTTGCAAGTGGCATCAAACAAAAAGACCCAGTTGCAAAGTCGAGGGTCGACTTGCAAGTGGCATCAAACAAAAAGACCCAGTTGCAAGTCGAGGGACAACTTGCAAGTGGCATCAAACAAAAAGTTCACTGCAAAGGTTTTGTCAGCATCACGAAAAACATGCCAAATCTCTCACCATTGTCCACCTCGCAATGAGCAAAACAAACTGGGCACACCATCTTGAATCATAGCAAAAAAAAGATCAACATAGAGCAAGACAGTAACTGATGGTGCTCATACCGATGCTTACACTAATGAAACTGTTGAAACCAGTAACTAGTAACTATGGAAAACTGTCAAAAGTACTTATGGCAAAACTGTCGAAAACTAGAAACTAGAAACTAGAGATTATTAACAAACAAACAGGGTCCAAAAAATATAAGCAAAAAAGCTAGGAGTGTATTACACAACTAGTATTCAATTGTGCATACCATCTTTAACATCCAGAAAAAAAGCCATCGCGAAAACTGGTAAAAGAAAATTAAAAAACAAACCAAAAAATGATTGTAACACTAGGGGCAAAAGGACAAAAAACATGGCAGAAACTTTACTATGAAGGTTTCGTCAGCATCGTGAAAATACATGTCGAAGCTCTGACCATTGTCACACTGACAATGCGAAAAGCAAACCGGGCGAAGCATCCTGGTCAAGCAACAAAAGAAGAAAAAAGTGGTGTCATAATACAATTGTTCCAATTAAACATAAAAAATAAAAGTATACTCCTGGGGGGATGCTAACATCCCTTACCATGAAAACACTAAAATTAAAAAGTGAAGTCGACCACCAACTATAAAAGAAATACAACATGCTTGTGTACAGATTACTACACTGATTTTATTAATAAAAAACTATAGTATCAGCAACAAATCTGCTAGAACTATATGAACAACTCCACTCATCCTATTTCAAAACAGTCAGAAAAAATGACTCAAAAACGAAAACAATAGAGCCATTTATAAATGAAGCATGAGCGGCAGAAAAATCAAGAACATACATCAAAACAACATGTAAATCTGCTGGTTGAACACTAAAAAAAGACTGGCAAAACTGTCGGCAAAACGAATTGCTTAATTTCAAAACTGAAGTTGATCCTCTCAGATAATCAAAATTGTAGACCCCTAGTATGGAAGAAATGTTACAGCAAGCAAGCAGCTCACACACAAAAGACAGATGCAAAAATACTGGCTAGTCTCATGGCATGAACTACAAGCATGTTTTTGTACAAAAAAATCACGACACTGAAAAGCCTTCTAGAACTACATCAAACAACAACACTGAAAACTTGATGAACTACAGACAACACAGTACACTCAACCTA